ATGTGAGTGGTCCACGGCTTTTGTTTTCTCACACTCAAAAGTGATTAATTTTATTTTTTCCCAACTTCCTTCTCTCTAATCAATCTAATTTGTCAAGTCTTTCATGGACACCCTGATGTTTAACAGTAAAAAAAAAAAAAAAAAAAAATCCCTTTAGTTTTGTTTTTCTGTGATATTTAGAAACAGATATACAGTCGACCCTTGAGTAATGCAGGGGGTTAGGGACCCCATCCCCTTGCACAGTTGAAAGTCGCATGTGACTTTTGACTCCCCCAAAAGCTTAACTACTAACTGTTAAAAGTTTAACTAGCCTACTGTTAACTGGAAGCCTTACAGATAATACAAATAGTCACGTGAAACATATTTGGTATGTTATATGTATCAAATACTGCATTCTTACAATAAAAGAAGCTGGAGAGAAACAATGTTATTAAGTAAATCAGAAAGAAGAGAAAGTACCTTTACAGTATCTATTGATAATCATCCGCATATAAGTGTTGTTCGAGGGCCGGCCGACTGAAGTCTGTGAGGTCATACTTATTAAGTTAAAATACTTTACCTTGTTTTTTGTCTGTACCCTTGGGGCACACAAGGTGATTGTGGATGGATTGCGGAGGACCATTTTTATTTTATTTATTTATTTATTTTACCATTTTTGTGTTCACAGTTACACATTTTTAAATAGATATTAGAAAAAAGTATAATTGCATATCTAAGTGTGATTTCATGGAAATCAGAGGGAGACTAAGAATTTTTTAATGAGCTGTTTTAAATCAATTCAAAGAAAAACATTAAGCGAATACTAATGTATACAGGTTTACCTGTATATGGCAAAAATTACATTGAACAAACTCTAGTGACTGAAACTTGGGAAATATGGCTTTGGGGCTTGTTTGTCCTATGTGACCAGGGGCTTCTACTATTTTCTGGTGATTATTATATTTTAAGAACTTCGATCAAGATTCCTGACCTCTTTGAGCCTTGGTTTCATTCTCTAGGAAATGAAATTCCTGAAGTGAATCACTCTATATTCGTACGTAATCTAAAGATTGTCATTACAAACTGCTATGTGCTTGAAAAGTCCACTTATCTTCCTATCTTTCCTCCAGACCCTCAAATCCCCAGGCCTGTCGGTCAGGCTTTGCTGAGAAGGACAGTGTCTTTTGGGCTCCTCAGTTCCTATTTTATCCTCGGTGGGGTAGCTTAGTAACCAGGACACAGTGGCCAGAAACAGTAAACAGTCCTGCACGCTGGCAGGTTCTGATTGTCTAGGTGGCAGGGCCAGTAATGGAGCAGGGGGCGCTGGGGGCTGGGGGGAGAGGGAAGGAAGGTAGACAGTGGCCCAGGCGGGCTCACTCTGCTGTAAGAAATAAGTGCAGCCGCAGATTTTAAGTGGATTGGCTTCGGCTTTATTTCTCTGCCTCATCACCTCACCGTGTTTTTAATCAGTGCATTTCAGCTGCTCTCCTTGGAGAATTGGTTCACACATTTCCATTACAAACATTTCTTTGTCTTCAAATGAAAAGAGCACTTCTCTTCTCCCCATCGAGAAAATTCTCATTATAATCCAGGAAACCTCTGACGAGAGATTTCTTTTGTAGGTTCAGCTCTTTATGCAGAGTGAATTAAAGAGCTTTGCTGCAGTATTTTACTTCTTGCAGATCTCAAACTTGCTGTTTTGCATACCGAGTATATGTCTGCATTTTGTCCAAAGCTGCTTAGCCCGTGGAACCTTAAAGTGGCTAAATAAAGCACTTTAAAATAAAAAAATCTTCAGTCCTTTACCCATCAGTAAAGTACAACCTGATGCAACTGCATTCAGTTTCTCTCATCAGTATTTATGAAGTGGCCTTCCCTGCCTCCCCCTCACCCCAACACCTTCATTAGATGTTAGACTCCAGCACGTGGCTCCTGCATAGACAGCCCGGGGTGTCATCCGAACACAGGTTTATTAAACTAATAGCCACACCACCCAGTAAGCAGTAAACAGTGGTGGCTAATGTGGTAATGCCTCCAAGTGACAGCAGCTGACAGCCTTTTCAAGGAGTGAAGTAAGGAACAGCAGTAGAGATATTTGAGGAATGCAAGCCTGTTATTTTAATGTTAAGCCGTAAGCTCAAAAAAGCAAAGCATATGGCAGCAGGTCTGAGAGCAGCGGATGACTTGTTTGCTTTTTAAATATTTGTATTTCTTCCTTTGTGATGAGAAACTTCTTCCCAAGAAATACTTTATTAAAAGTTGGGCCAGATGCAGTCAGTGGATCCCATGGCTTCTTCCCAACCTGGGTAAAACATTGTAACACCAACCTCAAGAGGATTATGTGGGCACCTGTCATGTAGTATTGTCTATTTGTGACAGGCTTGTCTCCAGCAGAACCGTAGGCTCTCAGAAACCAGGCAATGCCTCTCGTTGCTTGTGCCCACCCCAGCCATACCTACTACAGACCGAGTGCATAGTTGATGTTTGGTGAGTACCTGCTAGATGGAGATGAACCCCTTACCACTGTTCCGCTGCTGAACTGAACCGTCAGACTGTTGAACTGAAAATTGACTTAGCTAGCCTCTTAGCCTGGTGCAGAGAATTACAGAATGTTTTGGTCCCTGTTAAGCATATTCAAGGTCCTTAAATACCAACTTTTATCATCTCATGGTGACAGTGAGGATGGGTAACACTGGAGAGCCCAGCTGCTCTTCCAAGGGCATTCAGCTGTCTTCACTTGTGCGTTTAAGGCATCCGTACATGCTAATCACTCAATAGCTTACAAGGATTCTTCCTCTTATTACTACTACAGTTTTCAAATGTGGTATTTTAGAGTCCTTTAAAATTGTTCTTGAATATTGAGTAGAAGCAAAAGACTTAATTAAATTTAAAATAATAATACGATAACATGCATGCCCACTTTTGCATTTAAGAAAAAGAACGCTATTGCCTGTGAGTTTCCCGTCCCCTTTGCCTCTCGCCTCACGGGCCAGCCACCCTCCTCAGTTCTATGTTGAGCCTTCTCTTGTGTTTCTCTACCACCCATGTTTGTACTCCCAAATAATGAAATTCTAGTTTCGCATGTTTTAAATTTTGTAAAAAACAGAATCATACCGAATACAAAGTTATACTACCCGCTTTCACTGCTTTATGTGATATTCCTGAGGTTCATCTGTATTGCGTACAGCAGCAATTTATCATACTATCATACTACGTACTGATGAGTAGTATTTTATTATGTAAATATACCAAGATGTATTTTTCTAGTTTGCCATAAGCAAGTATGTAGGTTGTTTTCGGTTTTCAGCTATTATGAACAATGCTGCTCTAAATATTCCTGCACAGGTCCCCGCCGGTGCCCTCATGCAGCCATTTCTGGGAGTGAAACTGTTGGGTCATAGGATATGTGTATCTTCAGTTTTACCAAATAAGCCAAACTGTTCTTCAAAGTGGTTGTGCCGGTTTTACACTCCCACCGGCAGTGCCTGAGAGCCCAGGTAACCCCACACGCCACCGGGCCGTGTTGTCAGGCTTATTTTTTGGCAATGCGGTTGCTAGTTGGTGGTATCGCATTGTGAGTTTAAGTTGCATGTCCTTCATTATTAATGAGGTTGAGCACCTTTTTATTTGCTTATTTGGTCATTTAGCTTCTCTCTTTTGTGAAGCACATGTAGCAGTCTCTCTTCTTTTCTAACTGGGCTGTGTTTTTCATACTAAGATTTCTTTATGTATTATGGTTTCAAGTGCTTTTGTTGCCCAATGGGTGCCCTGTCTTTGCATTCTCTTAATGACGTCTTTTGATGAGCAGAGGTTTTTAATTTTAAAATGGCTGAATCAATTTATCAATCGTATTCGTGGATAGTACTTCTGTGTCATTTAGGAAACCTTCGCCTTCCCCAGGGTCATGAAGATAGTCTCCTAAATCATCTTCTAAAAGCTCTCTGTCGTTATCTTTTGCACTTAAAGCTAGGAGTCCCTCTGGAATTGTTTTATGTATGTACGGTGTGAAGGATCCAATGTAATTTTTTCCCACGTGGATACCCAATCGTCCAGCCTTGTGTAATGAAAAGACCTTTCCCTGTTGTTCCACGATGCCAGTTTTGACTTAAATCAAATGTCCAGGTGTGGAGCGGGGCTGTTTCTGAGCTTGTCCTTGGTTCCATTGGTCA